GCTCGGCGGCAGCAGCGGCAGAGGGCGCGGCCGCGCTCCCGCTCCGCTCACAAGGATGCTGGGGGGCGATGCCTGGCGCCAGGGAGGACGAGATCTGCCAGACCGCGCTGCAGCTGCTGGCCGAGCTCTGCTCCATCGGCGCCGTGGAGAGCGAGCACTGCCGGGACTTCGTGTACTACCTGCGGGACAGAGCCCGGCCCCGCCTCGCGCACTCGGGTACGCGCCCGCCCGCGGCTTGCGCTCTGCCCCGTGCTGTGTGCGCCTCACGCTGTGTGTGGTGTGTGGTGTGTGGATGTGGGTGCATTACGTGCGCGCTGTTATGTGTGTGCGTGTGTTATTTTGTGCGCGGTGTGTGTGGATGTGGGCGTGTTATGTGTGCGTTGTTATGTGTGTGCGTTATGTGTGCGTGTGTGTTATTTATGTGTAGTGTGTGCGTTATGTGTGTGCATTGTGTGTGCATTATGTGTGTGTGTATGTTATTTAGGTGTAGTGTGTGTACGGGTGTGTTATGTGTGTAGTGTGCGCGTGTTACGTTTGTGTGTGTGTTATGTGTGCATGTGTTATGTGGGTGTATGTGTGTAATGTGTGCGTTACGTTTGTGTGTGTTATGTGTGTATGTGTGCATGTGTGTTATGTGTGTCTGTAGTGTGTGTGTTATGTGTGCATGTGCATTGTGTGTGTATCTGTGCATGTTATGTTTATGTTGTGTGTGCATATTATGTGTGTGTGTTATGTGTGTGCGTTGTCTGTGTGTTATGTGTGTTATGCGTATGCATGTGTTGTGTGCATGTTATGTTTGTGTGTTGTGTGTGCTATGTGTGCATGTATTATGTATGTGTCTGTTTGTGCAGGGGGTGGGGGTGAGTTACTGGAGGAGAGAGGGGGCAACAGTTCCCTATGGCTGCCTTGCTTCGCTTCGCTGCTTAGGGGAAAGAAAGAGGCTCCCAATCCCCCACTCCCCGCCCTTCCCCAAGACTCCTTCCCCCAGTCGGGATGGCAGGGGCTGCGTCCATCTCCCCTGCCCCCTGAGGAGAGCAGGATCAACAGGTCCCCCCCCCCCACTGCAGGAGCTCCTCCTCCCGTGGTTCAGTGGGGTCAGTCAGACGGTTTTTATTCACTGGGACACTCTGTGGATTGTATGGGATGGTTTGGATAGCCTTGATCCTGCCTCAGGCAGGGGGTCGGACTAGATGCCCCTGGAGGTCCCTGTCAGCCCTGCTTCTCCATGGGTGCGTCTACACAGTCATTAATACGCCTTAGTTACTGCGCATTTGATGTAGTACTTCCTTAATAAAGTACTAACTAAATGCACAGTACCTAGAGTTAACTGCACAGTAGTGCCGGCACATAGTTATTTAGTGATGCTTACTACGCATTAACCTAATAACACAGCACAGTAGGCTAGTAGCACAGTTTTCCCATGACACACTACTGTGCAGTATTATTAGGCTAATGCGCAGTAAGCATCTCATATAGACACGCTCTCTAGCTAGGCTTCCCAAGTCCAAGCACCAAATTTGTGTCATTCCTCAGCGTCCTCCAGAGGGCTGGTCAAAGGGGAAACCCAAAGGAGGGAAGGGGGTTGTTTGAAGCGTGCCTAAATCGATGGCATCCTTTTCTCAGGCTAGCTGAAGAAATCCATAAGAGATCAGTGCATTTAGGGCTGCCCCTTTCCCAGGCATGGATTCAGTGCCTTTAGGTCCTAGACCTGCTGGCAGGTGGCTGTGCAATTATTGCTAGCTTTCACACAACTTTAAATTGGAGTTGCATAGAGCAGAGCTCCTTGTCAACAGCCCTGTACGCTCATTTTCATTATTAATAATAATTTTTTAAAACCCCCAAATGTGTCATAGAATCACAGAGAAGTAGTGCTGGAAGGGACCTGCAGAAATCATCTAATCCAACCCCCTGCCTGAGGCAGGATCAGCCTACCCAAAGCATCCTATACCATCCGTACAGTGTCCCAATGAAATATATTTGTACGTGCTCATCTGAAGGCAGCCTGAGTCCCAGATAGCTTTCTTTCAGTTAGAGCTTATTCACTGTTTCATGATTCCATCCTTAGAGGTTGTTGAAACACGGGTAGACAACCCGTGGGATGGCTGGGATGAAATAATTGGATAAAAGACCTACTTTGAGCAGGGGGTTGGACTAGATGACCTCTGGAGGTCCCCCCTAACCCTCATTTTCTATGATTTCAATGATTAAGAAGTTGCTTGCTTCCTGATACTAGTTTTGACCCACAAGTATCTTGTGAGCTCATTCAAACTATGACCTGAGTGGTTGGTCCTTGATGGCTTGTTCAAGTGCTAAAGATTAACCGTCTTTCTTGAACTCTGTGGTCCTTGCAGTCGTTCTAGGTTTAATTCTAAAGCTCCTGGGTCTTTAAAACACAATGAAACCTAACATCTCTCAGGGCTATGCTTTTTTGTTTTGTTCTTTCATTGAACTGGGTGTGTTACTTTACTATTTCAGTGATACAACAAGGCAGAATTAATCAGTCTTAAGCATCATCTATCTGAGAGATGTATTTGTGTTATGTCATGAGCATGGCTGCCTTAATTTTTTATCTCTCCAGATAGCGGGCTGATTTAAAACTTGCCCTTCAGCAGGCTTCTTAATGAGGAAGCTGGACTCCTGCTGCTGTTTAAAAAACTGTTGAACATTTGATGTTAACTTCTATCAAAGTTCTGGATCCCTTTAGTCCTCAGGGAAAAAAGAAATTGTAGATTTTAAGTAGAGTTTAAAAGTTTGTGTACCATGTATGTAGATGGCGTGTGTTATGTATAAGCATTCCACCAAATTGGAGTTTCACAGGCATGAAGGAAAATTAAAGTGAGAAATCAATGAGAAACCATTTTTGAAAGAGTTAGAGTAAGTAAGAACTGGACTGCACTTGCAGTTTTTACACGGTGGTTGTATTTCAGCTGAACATTACTGCACAGTACTTATTTACTGTTCTTTAAAGAAATTAATTTAGTCAGCATATTGCACCTCAGTTTTAGCCTCTTCTTCAATGTCTGTTGCTTTTTTAAACAAAGATTTTTACTGTAATTTGGTGAATCTGATGTAGCTTTCACAAAGCAATCAAGTGACAAATACTTGGGTAGACTTAAAAACCATCAGCAATCCAATAAGAACAACAAAAGTGAGATAGAAAAGTCTTCTATCTACAATCAATGAAGAATAATCTTCCTGTGTAGTTTGCTTGTTTCAAGGTCTATGTGCAACTATGCTATATCTCCATTCACTTAAAAATCTCTAAAATTAATTTCAGACATAAATAGTAAGAACTTACAAAATTACCAAAATAGGTAGAATTATTCACAAAATAATTAAGATTAAGGACATGAATTTAGTAGTCAAATATTTGATTCAAATATCATATCATATTTGTATTTAACTATTATCCATGATTGTGACTGTTTCTTTAGTTTTCTTACACTAAGGTATCACATGCTTGCATCTTAAATAATGATTCACAACAGGATGGATGTTTAAGTCAATTCTTGCTTAGAACAATGAGTTATTTGTACTGTAAGTAATGAGGCTAGCCTCAGACACTTTTAGTAGCACGATCATTTAGGCTTCTTGCAGAAGTTGCTTGTATTTCCAGTAAAGTGTCATGCAGAAAAGATACCTGGCATTCTGTTTGGAAGCATTTTAAAAATATGTTAACCAGTATAAACTTATATAAATTTTGCTTGTATAGTTGGAAGAAGATGGGATCGTCATTTTCATATACCGCTTTTGTTAATGATGAAAAATGTTTCTTATTTTGCCCATTTTTTTCTGAAACCATTAGTATAGGATGAATTAATAGGATTTGTTGCAAGTCTAGTTTGTTACACAGAGTAGCTATGCTACACAGGTTTCCCTCGCTTTATGCAGCTTCTGTACGTGTGAATTTGCTCTTATACGATGACCCTTTTGATACCAAGAAATCGTTATATGCAAGGTAAATTCACTTTTATGCGAGCGGTGTGGTGGAAGCCTTCAGTCAGCTGCTTTATGCAGTGCATTGTGGGAGTGACGCGCACCAAAATATAGTCTTCTGCATGGATCTGTGCTCCTTGCTCGTTGTCTGCAACACATGTATCTGTAGTTGCCATCCCTATTATGATAGTACCCTGTGCTTGTGTGTACTGTCTGCCATTGGCAAGTACTCAAATTGTCTTGTAACTGTGGTAGAAATGAGTCTGGGGGTCAGTACAGTCGAGGTCTTGGAACATATCTCTATTTGTCACATTGTAAAATGGGCTCCTTTTATGTGAATTTGAGTTATGCGCTGTTTTCCAGGAATGTATGTACAGCATAAAGTGCGGGAAACCTGTATTAGGAATTTATTAATATAATTTCACATGCACTACTATAATTAATTCTATAATTATGGAGATGCATATAGACTGTCATATAAATTAAATACCCAGGATTTCCCAGTACTGGAGTCAAACGCTCTAGGCTTAGAAGAAGGCAGTGTTTTCTATCTTCCAAGGTGGTGCCACTGCTTCTCTTGTAGCCACTCAACAGCATATGGGCCAAACCTATCGTGATTTATTTATACAAGTGATGTCATTGAATTATTGGCCTCTTAAGAAAGACTCATCCAGTTTTCAAGGGCTGGAAGGATAGGGACTATAATATGAAACCACAAGGAAAAGTTTTGGCTGGGAACAATCAACATTAAAAAAAATCAGCATTAAGTCATCATGTAACCAAGAGTTACATTAGCCAAACCAAATGACGTTTCTCTCAGGTATCCATAAATATTCTCAGGTCAGACAAAAGAAAACCATCTAGGCTACAGTCAGACATTGCATTTGTCCTGGGAGAAACCATTTTATTCTGGGGTGAAGTTGCTTGGATGTCCATGTCGATTGTCCCAGGACAAACCTTAAGAAGGGTCCTGTGATAAAGTGCTAACAGTTTGTCCCAGGACATCACAAAGCATTCCTGAATGGTTGTCCCAGGAAGCAACAGCAGAAAAGTGGCAGTCCATTCAGCTGCCTGCCCACTGAACCCTGATTGGAAAAGTGATATGTGTACATGACACTAAACACACTGAGACCTTTCTGACTAAATGGGGTTACTAAAATAGTGACTAAAACAAAAATTGGTGGACAAATAATGGTCAGCAGAATGACAGTCTACATTATGGCAGGGTTTGTACAAGAATGTATAAATAGTATTTTTAAGTATTTTCTTTTTTTGTCATG